GTATAACGGTAGGGGAAACACTGCTGGTTTATTAATATATTCACATGCACAGCATTATACAAGACTCACCACTTTAATCCAGCTTAGGTATAAACATCACAGCCACTCATGGAGTTAGATATTTAACTCTATAACGATGACACAATATCACTATCATCTCCCCTAACTTGTGGTGACACATCCTGTTTCGGTAACCGGATATTTAAAATTCTCATATGATATAGTCAATACAAAACATTACAGTATTGCAAGGTTATACAAACATTTTGCATTTGGGAACATAAAAAGCTTTGATAGAAATTAGCCTGATGTCCTCTTGGGGGCTCCATACTCTACAACAAATTGCGCAATGTACATCTGACACCATAAAAAAAGCCTGCAATTTATTTACAACATCAACTACATGTCTAAACAGTAACCAACAGCTTGTAACCACTTCAACAAACAAGGACAGTGAACACACCATCTTTGTCCACAGTTATTAAAAATTTAAAGGCACTCAAACGGTCGTTCACATTTAGCTTGTCCTGTAATACTACATGAGTCTTATTAAGAGTGCATGAGGCAAAAGATATGCAAATACATTCCTGTCTCTGGCTCCACCCTGCAGCTGGAGCAACGTATCCGTAACAAACTCCTAATGAGGGCAGGTTGCCACACCAGGGTTATTCAGTTCAACTAAACGTCTGAGTTTGCTCTAAAAAAGAAAAAAATGCCTACAAACGAATGTATCTGATTAGATAATAAATTTTATGAACTGAATAATAAGTTTATCAAGACCAGGCTTGATTGAGCTCCATGTGCAAAAAGAAAACAAAAACGAACATGTGAAAGCTGAACTCCCGTCAGAGGCTTTTATTTTATGTTAAACCAAATCAGTCACCTGTGGCTAAACCCAGCCTGTCCTGATCTTGTTTTAAAACTAATAATCCCCCCTCCTCAGGGAAGACGGCGCTGATAAGAGGCTGATATCACAAAGACTCGTTTCAGTGCGAACTCGAGGCGATGCCCGTGTGTTCACGATGTGCCTGAGAAGTTGACGTCTTTCCACTTCCCAGGTGAGGCGGCGGGAAGGGCTGCAGCGCCTCGATCACCGCTCCGAGGCACACCATCTCATCTCAAAAACCAGTCGGTGCAGCAGAGAATGAGCAATGTGTTCTGTGATGTGTGAACCAAACCCAACCCTGACAACACCCAACACACCTGAGAGGAGCAGCAGCGCTCACAGCACACACACACACACACACACACACACACCCTGAAAACACCTTTGACGAGAAAACATGTTCTCTTTATCTTTAATCACTAACTCGTGTGTGTATGTATACATGTGTGGGAATAAATGGTTCTTTTGGATTTCTCAGCTGAGACGTGTTCGTCATGAAAAGCATTAAAACCAAAAGCTGGCAGAAGAGGAGACATTCCTCCTGAAGCCTTTTACAGGGTTCCCACACCTTGGTCAACATCAAATTCAAGGACCTTTCCAGTACCAATTTCCTCAAATTAAAGAACCATTTGCAACAGCAATGACCTACTGCTACCACAGAATGTTACCAATAAACACGTTTAATATCATGAAAAACTGAACAACATAGAAGTTGTTGAGTCAGAAAGAAAGAATGACGTCAGTTTACTGTAATCCTAAATTATCCACCGCAACAAATGTAAGTTTTTTTTTATTTAATTTTATGATTTATTTTTTTTTACAGATGATGAAAATCAGTTATGTGAAAAGAGAACTTCAATCCCCCCCAAAAAATTCAAGGACTTTCAAGGACATGTGTAATTTTTGGCTGTTTTAACAAACTTTCCAGGGCCTTGAAATATATATATATTTTTCTAATTCACAAACTTTCAAGGATTTCAAGGACCAGTGGGAAAACTGCTTTTAGGTGTTTTTGTTTTCCTCATCTGCAAACACTTGCACATTCATCATGGATCCTCTAAAGCCACAAACCACTGTTTGAGGAGCTGATATAAAGTTAGACTGTCTTCCTACAACAAACAAAGGCCTGGAAAAAAATAAATAAAAAAGAGAGACATCCAGTCGGGAGTGTCTGACAGGTATGATGGAGTTGTAAAACTAACCGAACATCGACTCGTTTGAGAGACTGGCGGTACGTCACTGAGCTCAGCCCTTCCAAACGACTAGGACAGCATGTTTGCCTGTTCAGGCAGGTATCAACAGCGCCTCTGGGAAATACTAAAACTAGAAAAATGAGTAAAAGGTTCCCCACCTGGATCGACACTACCCAGAATTCAGAGGTCACGCCAACAAACACCCAGCGTCGTGACGCCCTGTTTTCTCCGCTGTTTGGTTGTACACATCATATTCTATTTGCTGTTGCAAGAGGCGACAAGTTTCACACACCAGCTGTTTTTTTTCCCACTTTCAGCTCCTTCATTACGTCAAATCATTAAACGGGATCTAATTACTAACTCCATTAATTCCCACTTATACAGGAAACATTTTTATTCCCTCTTTGGGAGTCACACCATCACAGAAAATCCCAGCTTGATTGCTCCCATGGACATTTTTTTTTTCCGGTAACATGACAACAAACAAAAACAGCAGGTTTTCATGACAACCTTCATCCCTTTTATTCGAGTACAAGAGCTGAAACTCTATTCACTCTGGAGAAAGTCTAACCTTCGCCCTGCTATCAGGGAAGTTCATGAAAGCAGCGCTTGTTCGGGCCTGTTACACATTAACCGTTTGTGATTTGCACAGACAAGACACTGTACATCTGCTGCTGCTCGAGGACAAAATCAAAAATTCCCCCCGAAGAGCTGATGAGAAACAAACCAATAGGAAGTCTGAGGGGACGAATGTGGAGGAAAAACCACCTCGCTGCTTCTGTACAACACGTTAGGCTCCATGTTTACCAAGCGGAGGAATCTGAACTGTGTTTGAGGAAAAAGAGAAAGTAATAAGCTGTAAGTTCACTGGTTGGTCAACAAAAGACTCATTCTCCCTTTTCCATCATTTTTGAACACAATTCTGCAAAAATAAATAAATAAAATTCACAGCTGACTCTAAAACATGAAAAACTTTTAAATTTTGTAAGATTTTTGTGACATATTAGATAATTGTTATGGACTAATTATTTATATCTGTTTTACCTTGACGCTGTCCAGTACTCATATCTTATGATAACTAGTTTCGGCTGTTTTAATCTGTTGCCCTAGACTTCAAGACTCCAGCAATGCATGACCTCTCTTATTTTGATAAGGTAGTTCCTGGGCTGAGGGCCTTGTTATTGGTTAGGTGGTTACAGTTGTCCAACTGATTGGTTGTAAACGTGTTGCAGGATGTTATATTATCGGCTGCTCTGCGCTGAGGCGGCAGCCACAACTTGACAGACTTCTCTGATTGACTTCTGCTCTGTTGTTGCTCAAATTAAATCATTTTGACGACCATACACGCAGACTTTCTGTGCATTTACTCCAACGTGTTTCTGCATTCTTGGTAAATCTTGCCACCACAATAATAATCACAATTATATGAAAGACAGAAACGGCCACAATTAAAAATACTTATAAAATGGTATACAAGATTTGAGTAAAATTTGTCAAAAACTTTAAATACTTTTAAAAGTTTAGTGATTTATTTTTGTATCTTACTATATAAAAATAACGGTTAATAAATAAATATATCTTTATTATTTTTTAAATTCCATAAATTACTTATTTTTCATAAAACCATGGTATGTATTTTTTCTTTACCATTCTCACCCTTTTCATTTTGCTTTCCCAAGCATATATATTTGTTCATTTTAATAGCATAACTATGTATTTATACTTGTATACTATTTGTTCACATTACTGCACATTTTCCAGCTTCATTTTGCAGATAAGTGTGTCTCATGGCAGGAGTACACAACAGAGAACTTGCTAACTTTTAGCATCGATAGCAAAGTGAGTTTCATTTGCAGTCAGAACAATAAAGTTTTTAAAAGTAGCTTTTTGTTCCAACTCCACAAAAACAACGTGCTAATAAGTTGGTGACTGAAAAAACTAATTGTCACAAAGTGTGTCTGCATCATAGTGAGGCAACAGGAAGTGATCATTTTGACATTGGTTCTATGTGTTGGGTTGTGGTGTTTTGGTTTAAGTTGGACTATTTAAATATAAAGACAGAATAAGTAAATAAAATGTAGACAAACCAACAAGTTCTAAATTTTATGAATGTATTACCTTCCTTTGAGATGGTAATGTATAGTTACAATCATGTAATATATCCATCCATTTTCTGTATATGTTTATTCCTTTCAGGGTCACGTGGGTCACAGTGCGAGGGGCGGGGTTCACCCTGGACAGGTCGCAAGTCCATCACAGCATGTGATGTAATTTAATAAAATTAATTAATACTCAATAATAAAATATCATTTGTAATAGAATTGATCTGCATGTTGATATTTAGACTTTTAAGACAAACATTTTTATATGTAGGTAAATATATTTTTATTTGGGCACTTTCAGTCCTCCATATATGTTCAGTAAAGTGTTGTATATGTTATTTTGGGGAATTTAGATTGCTTACGCATTAAATTATTTAACTTTGTGCCTTCCAAAAGATAACAGCACAGTTTTCATCTACTGTAGGCCACTTGTGCTGACAGCAGAACAATGGACAACAGTTTGAGGTCAGGACCCAGGAGAGAATAGGACTTTGAACAGGTCCAAATGTTTCAGGAGTTTGAAGCGGATCATGTTCTGTCCACTTTTTAAAAAACAGGTACATCAAGTTTCTTCATTGGGTGACTCATAGGAGTTAAACTTTTATATGATCCCTTAAAAGCTCCAAGTCAAACAGAGGATCATCCATAAAACCGCAGCTCATTGGTCAGATGATGATATCAGCACCTGCGCTTCACTTTATGGCAGCTCTGAATGCAAATTTCACTTCCTGTCACTCCGAAAGTCAAAAAGGTCATTTTTTTTGTTTCTTGCCTGAAAGCAGAAAACTGAGCAGGCTTGTGTAGGCTATCTAAGCCAAAAACAACATGGTGTTTACCTGACATGGCGTAGTGTGAGGCGGACCCATTCTGGCGCGGCAGAGTGGACTTCTCTGCCAGTCTCATCTGGATCTGCTGCTGCACGCGCCGCGACCTGGCCGCCTCGTCCGACAGGGAGCCTCCATTCCCAATCTGCATGTCCGACGGCAGGGCGTAGGTGGTGACCGAGGTGTGGGGCTGTATGGTGGAATAAAACACGCTCTCTGAGGCCACGGTGCTCATGGTGACAAGTCAAAAGATAGAAACAGACCCGAGAGGGGCGTCTGAGCTGCGGGATAAAAAAATCTGCTCTGCGTCGTGGCACCGAGCTGCGCGTCCTCACAGAGGAGGGGGAGGAGCCACAGCGGGGCCTTACCTGACGCACAGGTGAGCTGACCAACCCCACCCCCTCAACGATAAGCTGACTCACAGCTGACTGACATCTTCAGAAAAATTAATATAAATATAACTTCCGCTTTCTTTTTCATCTGAGTTAAAAAAAAGAAGTTGTAGTTACAGGTTCATTTGATTCAGGGAGGTAAATAAACCCACTTTGTTATAGTAAAAGATGAGCAAAACTGAGTTTTAAATGAAAGTATTATAAATTACTGCCATAAAGACGCTTTTAAATGGAGTTTTTACTTTGAGTTCATACTCTCAAAGCAGAAGCGCCACCAAGTGGGGGTCAGGGAGGTCAATGGACGCCCTAAAAAGAGGTGCCCCCACCTCATTGACCAGGTTTTGCTGTGCAGTTTTTTTTATTTCCCCTAGCTATTTTGGATAAGTATAGACATATAAATTTCAAAATAAAACTCAAAATCTAGTCCCTCTGAATAAAGGCAACTTTTCTAAATGTTTAGGATGCAGCATCTGGAGGTGTGTACATATTTTTAATATCAACTCTAATAAACATAAAAGGGAAATAGATCAGATCCTGTTTTGCTATTTTTGTCAAATAATTGTACAGGACAAAAACAGAACAAATCTCTTGAAATTCCTTTGTTTTTAGTTTTGGTGTCACCGATTTTCTGTACTAAAGCACATTAACTGATTTATAGTGTCTTGACATTTATTTTATACTAGAAATAAATGTATATTTCACAAAAACATGACTTGGATTTTTAAAGTTAACTCATGTTACCTGTAAAACATTATAAACACCATTATATACGCCAATTTTTGGGAGAACCAGGGGTGTCGCTAGGTTTTAAGGACGAGGGGGTTTAGCCCCCAGGAGATGCACAGAATTTTTGTATATTAAATTTGTATTGTGTGTGTGTGTT